TACAGGTGACTTTTGTAAATGTTAGATGTTACATATAGCCTATATTGTAGCTAAACTACAACAATGCAGTTCATAGCTTTGACATGACCTGTTATGAACTATAATATATATGCCTATAGTTTTGTGGTAACGTTCACGCCACTAATGACAATAGTGTACAGTAGGCATACTGCTGCTGTGAGTTGTAAGCCTAAGACTCTAACCCGTGAACGTTACCACAAAACTATAGGCAATATTATTGTTCATAACAGGTAATGTCAAAGCTATGAACTGCATTGTTGTTTAGCTGCAATATAGGCTATATGTAACATCTAACATTTACAAAAGTCACCTTTAATAGTTACCTTATGTAGCTGACGCTCAAAGGTCCCTTATTATTGTTTTGTCCTTTTTGAAGAGTGTTTAATGTATGCTTGAACTTTGTTTTATTTTGTAAAAATGATAAGAGTTGTCTTTCCGGAAGTCATGTGACCTCTTGCCCCGGATGTTTATATTGTGTTTGTGTGCGGTAAAAGTGTCAACGATGTGATAACGTAATTCTACTGCTGGTCTACTAGGCAAACACGTTTTCACTGTGTTTCATGATTGTGCAAAGAAGAGAATAAACGTGATTGTGGACATCGGTTCGATGCGTACTGTAATGTTCTTTCAAGACCAGAGTAGTTACACCTTATTTAGGACTAGATGCCGTTTGCATGGTGGAGAGCGCCACTGCAGCGCATGCGCACTTCTTATCTCATAATTATGACTTTTTATCTCATTATTTCGACTTTTTATCTCATAATTATGACTTTTTATCTCATAATTTCGACTTTTTATCTCACAATTTCGACTTTTTATCTCATAATTATGACTTTTCATGGGGATTTTATTTTTTTCAAGTGGCGGAAATGGGCTTCCATAGTATGGAATAGCCTGTCACACATTTTTATATTCTGTATTTAATTGTATTTTTATGTTTTTCTCTGGATGGATGATCCTGATAACGACACTATAGTTAAGTGCTTGAAAGCTCAAACAACCTAAATGGCACTGGAGAGTAGTACACTGTCACAAACCAACAAATAACACTATTACTTTGACTTTTTTGTGTTATAGTTTAAACTATTGCAACTTGCATTTAAAATGATAAAATAAGGTATATCACACTGACAGATAAATGAATATCAGAGGCAGAACCAGTATCCCCACATGCTCTTTGTAGAGTGTTAGCGTTCTTAAATACTAGAATTAGTCGGCCCACAGTGGCTAACTGACCTGTGAGAAATTAGGGATGTACTGACCCAGCTCAGGACTGACCGGCAGATCCAGGACAGATCAGAGCCTTATTTGTCCAGAGTCAGGACACAGCAGGAGCTTAAGCTGAGTGCTCCAGCCTTGGCAGGAACTCACAAAGAGGGGAGCAGCGTGTGGATGAAGGACATCACAAGAGAAGATTTTGAGCTGGAAGCAGTTGAGCCAGAAACCTGAAGCACATACTAAATCTGTAAGAAAGTAAAGGCTTTTCTAATACAAGTAAGTTTTTTCAAGAAATAATAGAGCCAGGGGGGAGTGCAACAAATATATATTTTGCAATTTGCTATGCTGTTTGCTGTTAGAAAGAAACAGAGGGATCAAGGACATTGAACAAAGAGGGGGAGAGGAAGGAAGGTAAAATAGATGTGTTTGTGTTCCACCTGTGACAGCAACCTGTTCAGCCCTTTGTAGCTCACAGTCACTTGCTCTTCCTTAGACTGTAAAGTTTTATCATCAAAGCGTTTGCTGTGGTCGCATAAAAACAACTTCCTTTAGTCAGTATCAAAGCTTCCGGAACTAATTAGTTCAGTAACAACATGTAGTGTGTTTGCTACAGGAAGCCACATTTACATGTTCCATTCAGAGACTAATCTTCTGGTGAATTGTTCCTTTCGCTTGTGATGTCACATTTACATCCTGAAACCAAGCTGTTGCTGAAAAGATAACTCTATTTTGATACAATCTCGCAAATATGGCTATGATCATGCGCACTGAGTTTTTAGTTTATTTTTAGTTTATTGAATTCTCTCAAGTAGGAACAGTGAGTGATACCTTTTTAAATAGAATAATTGATAGAGCCCACGCTCCCTCACATGGCTTTGAACAGTTCTAATGTATGTAATCTTCTTCCTTCAGCCCCTTCTAAAGTGGATACATCATCTGCAGGCAAAGATAGACATACACATCAATCCAAAGCGCGCACACACACACACACACACACACACACACACACACACACACACACACACACACACACACACACACACACACACACACACACACACACGTGTTGAAGGAAAGAAAGACTTGGGGACAGGGAACAAGAGAGGAATCTGAATCCAAAGTACCAGAGGAAGAGCACAGTTCATCAGTGGAACAAACACAATGCTCTATCTCACACAGCAGGTGTGTGGATTACCTTTTTAATTGGATCTTTTTGCGAGTCTCGCGAAGGCAAAGGACTGCTGTAGTCACTTTTGGAAGGCATGTGATAGAGCAAGCAAAGGGCATGGGGAGAGCATAATAAGGGAAGTGACTTTCAAAATGTTTTGATGTGCGCTTTTGGAAACACAAGCCCAATTACCACCAAGACACATGTGTACACTTTGCACATTTAGAGAGGATGGTTAGGGCTATTCCTTACTTCTCTTATCTGCTGGAGGCGATATAAAGGGACAAACCAACCCAGTGGAAGGAGGAGTCAATTGAGTATGTTCTGCCAATTAATCATTTCACATTCCTCATTGTATTGTTTGGACCAGGAACACATCGGATCATCATCATCATGAAATTAGATCTCCTCCAGTCCACTGGGGGCAGAGTGCAGCAGATGGAACAGCAGATGGGCCAGGTGAGACAGATGTCAGATATGCAAATGTTCTACTCATCCACCTCCTCCACCTTTACCTCCTCCACAAGCTCCACCAAGCTGCGAAAAGTCTCTCAGGGCTTGTCAAGGACCATGGAAGTTAGGAATTATCCACCGAGATCAACTTCTCCTTTACATCTGATATACTTGCTAATATAACATTTTTTAATTATGAGACATTGCTTGAAGAACCCTCTATTATAGGAGTCATCAATTTATTGAGCAAAAATGGCACAATTGATGAATGTAAGAGGGTTAAAATAGTAGCTTCATAAAAATAATTCTTACTGTGCGGAACAGTGTTTTTTTACGTTTGAAACTTTTCAATTATGTCAGGCTGCCATGTCCTGGCCAAATGCATACCAATATTAGAGCTAACCAACTACATTATGTCTGTACTTCAGTGCAACAAAAAAACATTCAAAGTCATAATGATAACATCACATTTGCATGCTTTTTGTACATGATTATGATGTCCTTTATGCTCCCTCAGAGCACTTGGTGGAGTCCTTCAGCCAGGTACTGAAATCCCCTCAGATCTCAGAGGGAGTGTCTGTCCCAGATTTTGATGAGAAGCTGTGCCCTATCACTGCCCAAGAGGGTGAGGTAGAAATGCCCTTTGCGTCCCCTAATATCTCTCTTCACAATGCATTATTAAAAACCTCTTAAGCCCCAAGCCTGTTTTTCAGGTCTCAGGCTCGAATATGACATTCCCAGAACAAATGACTATATCTTCCCTTCTAAAAGGGGAACATTAATAACCTTTTTTCGCAAAGCAATGATAAACCTGTGAGTTGGATGTAGAAGAGCCAGAATCAATATATAATTTTTTAATTTTAAAGTAAATTCAGATTGAACATAGTAAAAAAATGTAAATGATAGTGTCCGTCCGTCCAAAACAAAAGACATTACTTATAGTGAAAACCACCCCTGAATGATGGGATAGTAGACTAAAAGCTTTAGGAATCCAAACTATAACATATAATAAGTACCCTGTATCAAGATTGATGTAAAACAAGTGACATTTCACCTTTTAGAGAAGTTTAGCAACAAAAAAAACACTTCTGGGGTCTTTTGGGTGGATTTGCCATATCTCTTACACCTCTTTTGAACCGTTACAGCCAATGGAATCGAGAGGGAAGTTCCTAAATCCACCTACACGTTACCATTGAGGAATGAGAGCGATGCGCACGCAGCTTGCCCAAACTGCTCTGAAAACTGAAAACTGCTATAGCCATAAATATGATGATGGATTATCAGTAATCATTTCAAAGTGACACAGAGACATTGGATTAACCTTCAGTAGCGTTTTCATCATTTTAATCATATTGAACACAACTTTTGATCAGAAAAACAGCAAAGGTAAGACATATTTGGTTCCGTAAAGCTATGTGGTGTGTTGTCTGGGTTTGCCTTCGCTGCCCTGAGTTTCAGTCGCACAGTGATGATACTTATACCTCTAGAATCTGTGGAATCTCAGCTTTAATCCGATATCTCGTTTGTGCAGATCCGATAAGTAATACAGTATTTATACCGTGAGTTCTGTGCTAAGTGCGTCAGCGTTTTTTCGCTCAGGGCTAATTCAGAGGCTCGGCGTTAGAGTTGTGTTTTGTTTCGGTAAAAAATGTTCATAACGTCAGTTAGCTTAGTTTCTTCCCGTTAAGTGGGTATGACATTAATAGGTTGTTAAATGTTAAGAAGCCCTCGCTGTTTCTTGCAGATGTTGCGGTTTTGCCCCCGCCGGTGGGGGCCGTGGGGCTCAACAGGTTCAACTGTGGGCCCTTGAGACTATGAGAGAGCTACGTTTAAGCAAATTTGAGTTCCTTACTCATAGTTTGCCTAGAAACTCCAGATGACACAAGCAAAGGGAAGTAATAGTTTTTTACTTCTATGTGTAAACTTTAGATTTCACTCTCTGGGTAGTGTACATCTTCTCTGATCAATGTCCTGAATAAGACCCCCACATAGGTAAAAGATGCTGTGATAGAGTTTGTAAGAGGTGCATGTGCTTCTGCTGAATACTAGTGCCTGTTGTACATAAACTGCAAGAGTTTGAGCCCCACTCTGGCTCTACCTGAATTATAGATTAAGACACCCAGTCACAATATGCAGAACACTGCGGAGTAGCCATAGCATTAGCATTCATGGGATGACCTTAAACTCAACTGTACTAAAAGGAAAACAGGAAAAGATGGCGGTATTTATTCCAATATTAACCAATTGTAGTTAATGTTGTTATTTTTGTTAACAATAATTAATAATGTATAAAAGAGAGGAGTAACAGTACTAACTCTGTTGCTCACTTATCTTGAGCAGATTACATGCATTAACCTGATCTGTCTGTTATGACATTAATAGGTGACAATGCTGTGTTCAAGGCCAAGGTGCTTTGCCAGCTGTCTGACACGATAACATCTTTTTATGACAACATAAACATTCGGCATACTCAAGGTTTGTCACCAAAACTGCACAGCTTACAGAGTTCCCCAGTTATTAAAGGATCTCGCTGACACTTGAAGTCAAACCAAGGAGTTTGATTTAACACAACAATGGTCCCGATACAGAAATAATGTTTGTTTTGAACACCCATCTATGTATATTGAGTCTCTTTAGTTTTCCTCCCTTGTGTAGTTTGATATGACTTTGCAATATGTTATATTGAACAAGTACTTTTGTAAATTAGTCAACTCAATGTTTGTATTATTTCAGTCATTTAACACGATAAATAGTTGCATATATCAAACTTGTTTCTGGTTGCTTCATTGATGGCATATGACCTAAAACAAAACTATTTAATAATGGACAAATCCATTACATCTGTCCAAATCTGATAATCACTTATCTAAAATAAATCTATGACTGGAGCTCAATTATATTCTATTACCTAAAAGCAATTCAATTAACAACTCAAGTAAATCTTATTGCGTTTTCCAAGATACTGTGGCTCGTTTTTTTAAAGGTGTTTGACCACACCACACTGCTGTAAGTACAGAAGCTCTATGCAGCCTTTCCTTAATCCGAGGGGCTCTGCCATCTTGGTTCTGTCAACTTAGACGACACACCATGCATCATGAGGAAAAGTAGGAAGAAAGAAAAAAAAACTCTCTGATCCCTTTATCTATAACCACTCTGGAGTGGATTTAGCACTTTCTCTGTACCAGCCTCGGAGCTTAAGTGAAGCTTAAATAGCTATTATAAAGCAATTAACTTGTGGGTGCTGACATATGCATCTCCCCTTGCCATCTGTTTCTCTGGTGAGGGATGACTGTTAAGTTGAGGCGCTAAATGTTTACTGGGTATTCCCAGCATGGCACTGCCTCCTTCTGCGCCTCGTAAGTACTGCAGTGGGATTTAAAGTGACCCGACAATGCAATGACAGTATGACAGTTTTAGATCCTGCAGTGAGCAACAAGCAAGTAATTTTCACTTAATTGATGTCACCTGTATGTAATGAATTCCAGATAAAAAACCTGACCCTGGAAGATGCTGTTGCCTCCAAAAGCACAGAGAAGCCCCCTATTCTGTATTCTCATTGTTACAGAAAGTGAGTTTATCATGCAATTTTTTTAGTCCTGATATATTTATGTATCTTCAGCTTAGTTTACATGCTGCTTACCATTCAGTGCCTCAGGTTAAGATGCTCTGCTTTTCATTCCAGATCTAGCGCTGGTCTTCATAAAGATGCTGAAGAAGCGGTAGGAACACAAGCCTGCTGTATAATACTCGCCCTGACACTGCTAAAACATGGTGTGAGGGGGCTTTTTCTCATCCACCCATAGATCTTTTGTTGTGCATGCATCCATAGATATATTCAGCATGAGATCTAAAGAGGAGCAATGTTTACCATTGTCTGCCTGCAGGGGCAGATGCTCCTGAGCTATCATTGCACCAATTCATAGCGTTAGACACACAGTAAATGGCATTCAAACACTGGCACAAGTGTTCCCTCCTTGTGCAGTAATGTGGGGAAGAGGGAGGAGAAGTGGCCCCCTATAGAGGAGGAGATGCTGAAGATCCTGGCCAGAGACGACAAAAAGGACGACGAGAGGATCTGCACCGACTTCAGAGCATCTTCAAGAAGCTGAAGGAGATGAAGAAGAAAGTGGAGGTGGAGGTAGGCCTGTCATACAGAGAGCTTGCCTGGTACCGCAGGATCACATATAAGGAAGAAAAGGAGTGGGATGTAAAACAGCTAAAAATAGAGAAGAACGGAAAAGGGGGAAGAAAAGTTTAATGTCGCACAGGAATGGCAACAAAGGTTTGTCGCATAGCAACACCAAAGTCAACTTATGTGAAGAATGAGAGGGGGTTGACATTTTTGTGGTGTGCCTGAAAAAAAATGTTTGATTATTTATTTTCCTGATGTTAGGTGTGCTGAAGCCCCTTGAGGACATCACTGCCAAAGCTGACACCAACATCGTCTTTGACACCATCCTGAAACTAAAGATCCAAAAATCAGGATGCACTGGTTTCTGGTGAAGAACTGACGTGCGGGCATGTTTTGAATCAAGTTTCTATATACAAAAGTGCTTGTTCTATCCCAAAAAACGTGCAAGTCCCCTTTTATCTTGGCATTTTGTTTACGATTCAGGGCGCAGAGCTGCTGCGGATCCAGTAGGAAGTATAGGAAGTGAAACAGATGGGAACCAAGCACCTGCTGTGCATTTCCAACCTGAGCCTCGGTGACACGCACACCTACACTCTGCAGGTTGCAGACAAGAGACTGTCAGCCAAACTTAACGTCATAGGCAAGTACAGAATGAGACTCAAGTCTTTCAAATTGCTCGTAACTCAGAGAGACAAGGTCATCATTGACTAAATTACCCTAGTGTCACTTTCTTTGTTTGTTTAACAGATAGGAACATGCTTTATTCAAGCATTATGCCCATACGTGCACGTCTGATGTTTTTGTACATTTATTGTCAGTTATTTGTCTTGTCTCATCCCTCATCCCATTTACAGGACATTATGTAGCATAAACCATCAGTCAGAGATGGCTTTCTCTCTTAAGGGATTTTTTTTGTTGTCACATTTTTCAAGTAAATATTGCCAGACGTAGTTTGTAGCTTACAAATCCTACTATTTGGTATGGCTTCCTCCCTAGTGAAGTGTTAACAAGATTAAGTATACACTTCAAATCATGTGATGAGGATGTCTTTTTCTCTCGTCTCTGCCGTTCAGATGAACCTCTGAAAATTCCTGTCCGACTTAAATCCCAAAAAGTTAACAGACTGCCATGTTCGAAGTCCGCCTCTCTCAGAAGACGGATTCACCTCTAATCTGGAAGGTTTGTACGTGACCCAGAAAGACATTCTTCCAAAAGCATATGATATATTTGCTATATTTCTAGGAGTTTTTGACATCTAGGAAATCAAAATAACACACAAATGTACTGACAACCTGGAGACTACCCATCAGCATCACCTCACTGCCACCGTATTTTACAGGCAAAACTTTTTGTTATGCTTTGTTTTTTCCCTACAGGCCTGTGTCTTCCTGTTTTAGTGGAGCTAGCATTTCTAAGGAAACAAACTTCCCCCTTCAGACTCGTGGAGATGAGCAGTTACTGCCTTGGATTCGTCCCCTGAGATCAGAGGCATGGCTTCTTCATAGCTGTGCTTAACGAGTTCATCTTCCCTGTGTCGTCCAAATGAAGACGTATGGATAGCATAATAAATCCTCTCTCCTAGTGATGAGTTGAAAGTAATCCAAGCAAATCCCTCCTCACAACAAGCTCATTTATTACGCCTGTGTCTAACAAGATGCTTACTTGCCTAAGGTGCAAGCTGGAGCATGTAAATATCTTCACAAGGACATGTGGCTGTCCTCTGGGGTTGCAGGAACAGAAGCATATTAATTGAGGTTGAGTTAATTAAGGTTATTCATGAGAAGACTGTATATCTCTTGTTATGTATAAGTCGTGTAAGCTGCTGCATGTGTTCAGACTGAATATAAAAGAAGAAATCTAAAAAGGTTACAAAATTCAAGTTTGTTCACCTTATAATCTTGATTTCCCTTTCTTTTTTTTTTATTGAAACTTCTTTTGCGGGTATGTCAAGTAAAGAAATGACCAAACATTTTCAAAAGCTCCAAAAAGTTAGAGTGACTTATCGTTTTGTTCTTACCAAACTTTGCAACCTTCATGCACGAGGGGATTTTTTTCCATATTATTTTCATTAAGTTCAAATATTTCAACATGAGTTATAAATAAGAAATGAACAAAGCTGTTTTCTCGGTGCCAGAGCGCTTTGCCTCAGTCAAGAGCAGTATGTCAGATGCTCAGTGTCCTACAGGCTCCCCTGCAGAGCTGTGCGTCAAACTTATTTTTTTAAACTGGCATTTAAAAATGTCAAGCATACATAGTGTTTTATCTACTGTCGGCCCACTGCCTTGAACATACTGAAATAGTTCAACAGATGGATTGCCATGAAAATTTGACGTAATACATCTGTGTTACAATGACAATTAATCCTAATGGTTTTAGTGATCCCCTGATCTTTACTGTCTTTGGCCACCAAGAGGATTCTAGGTTGTTTTTTTTCTTCTGAGAAATAGCAACAACAATGGGATGAACTGATGGATGTGCATGACATTAGGTAAAGACATCCATGCATTTGCTCCTGTGGGTAATGTCCACAGTAATGACTCTTACATGTCTAATATGTGTAATGTGTATTTGTAAAGCGCTTTGAGCACCTGTAAAAGCGCTCTAATAAAAAAAAATGTAATCCATTATTATTATTATTATTATGCTGCCGAGAGGTTGAAAATGAGGTTGTTAACATCAGCACAAGCAGGCAGTACAGCCTTGCAGAGCAACAGCATTAATGTGCATTCTTGGTTGTGTTAAAGTGATACCCATGGCATATTCACACAACTTAAAAAAACTTTGATATTACACCTATTTATTCAAGTCATTCGCAGGAGAAGTTTAACGTTGTGTGAGTCAATGTCTGTTACAAAAACAGCTTTCATCATTTTTCTTAAACATAATATGTGTGTCACATTTGACAGATTTCTGAGCTGAGGGGGTCCTTGTGGTCAAACAGGGAGCCGTCCACAGGCTGATCTTCTCTGATGTGACTGACGCTCATGAGGGCAAATACACTTTCAGAGCCAATGGGGCTGAGAGCGAGGCTGTACCCACTATTGCAGGTTTGTATTACAATGTTGTATTTGAGTACGTATTCACAGATGGGGGAACATACAAAGTGTTATACTTAAATTGAGTATCTTTTTTGATACTACCACTAGGAGTCGCTAAAGTCAGTCATTTTCCAATCCTTCAGACTAATGCGACTAAACCTATACTGAAAGGCAATTAAAACTATAAACCTACATTTGCAATTGAAACATATAATGGTTTCACAATCTTTATTGACCCTATTTTCCAGATCCTCCGGAAATTGATTCCTCTGTGCTGGACTTGTTGGGAGCTCAACCTGTGACTTTGAAGGCAGGCCAGACCGCCTCTATTAAGATCCTCTTTAAGGGCAAACCCCCTCCCAAGGTCACCTGGTACAAGGAAGGTGCGGAGATCATGGAGGATGAGAGGACTGAGGTGGAGAGGACGGCTGACGGCACCATGCTGGTGCTCAGCAGGTGAGTGAGGCGTCATCCACTCAGATATTTAATGATCTTTTCAAAAGGTCACACACAAATTAAAATATAATTAAACTTCTGCTCTAACTCTTGATGTTTACTATGTGTGCGAGAAGACAGTGGAGCAATTATGCTCCGTCTAAAGAGTGACTGTAACAGTGCAGTGGCCAACCTGCACCTCAATGTGATTGGTAGGTGAAAACACATGTTTGACAGATAAAAGGTTTCATTCAACGCAGATTTTAAATATTTAATATTTTACTCTCAAAAAGACTATTTGTATATACATTTTTCATAAATTAAATTCTTTGTAATTCTCACATACGTTTACTGTAATCACATTTAAAGAAAAAGAGGAAATCCTTTATGAATTAAAATATATGAGGGCCATGTTTAACCATCGTAAAGCACTATCAAAATACTTAAGCATAAATAGTGTCGGGCTCGGGAATGTTTGTCCCAATCATTTCTTTCATCTTAGAGGCTAAAAATAGTACTTGATATACAAATGCTAATTTTATGGCTAAAGTATTCCTTAAAAGCATTTTCTCATTGAAAAAGATTCCACAGACCATCCTAAGCCTCCTCAAGGGAAAGTGGAGTTTCTTGAACTATCAATAAAGTGTAACAAGATGAGGTGGAAAACCCTGCGGTACAATGGAGGTAAGCAAGTGACCAGCTTTGTGATTGAACGGAGCGTGGCTGGTAAGAAGTCCTGGACCCTGTTGGTGAAGTAGACAGCAGGGCCACCATCTTCCCAGATAACAAAGTGGAGCAGGGCCGGGCCTACCAGTACCGCATCAGGGCCGTGAAGGTGGAGGGAATGAGCAACCCTCTGGAGACAGAGGAGGTGCACGCTGGAGAACCTGTAGGTGAGAGCTAATTATAAGTACAATATTTATTATTATTTATAAAATGGCATCTTCACAATCATCTCTCAAAACATTGAAGAAACTGTGCAAAGTAAGGTAGAGGGAAGACTAGTAATAACCATCATTGTTCTTATCATTTTAACCTTCATTTGTATTATCACCATAGCCATTAAAATGATCATGTCATCTTTAAACTCACCTCCTTTACCAGCTCCCTTTTTCCATATCTCCTAGTTCACTCGTGTTTTACCCAGAGCCCCCAGGCAAAGCGTCCCAGCCCCAGGCTAAGCCTGATATATGAACAAACCCCTCTGATAAATCCTTTAGAATATCGATCGAAATAAAAATGTAATGGGCTTGCTACTAAAGAAGATAGTTGAAAATGAAATTGAGGCTCTATCTAATGCTAACTTGAACTGAATACCGATAATAGTATAACATGCATGTTTTGCCTGAATTGTCTTCCTTTTCTTCACTTCCTCTTTGTCTCTTTGTATTTGGATGACAAAGGTCTGTTTGAGAGCCTGACCAAGCAGGCAAACAAAGAGAAGTTGATTTTGTAAGAAGTCTGCTTCAGATTTCGCCACTAGATTCACTTTAATTGGCCACTGACCGTATGCTGCATGCTCTGTAACCACTAACTGACTTAAGCTGTGGTTAATCTTTAATAGATTAGAAATCTATAGATCAGATAGAACATTAGTTTATTTAGTTTTTGTTTAAAGTGCTGTTTATTCAACATCTTCCAACTTGCTTTGACCCAATTTTTTCAGTGTTAGTAATGCAACAAATGGCCACTAGATGTCATGCTCGCTCCCTTTCTTGTGAAGGCATTCTTCCCCAGGAGCAGATTAGTGTTTGGTGTGTTGAAGGGATTTTAACTCAATAGTCAGCTCACTCAAAGGTCATCCTTTCTCTCTAAATCACAAATGCTTTCCTCAATATAAAGTCTACGTTTATCTTTTCCTCAAGCGTTCACAGTTTTAGCCCAAATACAGTTGTTTTAGTAGTCGTCCTACCACCTGTCCTCTGGACCCTATCCCCTCAAACCTCCTTCAGACTATCGCTCCTGATATTCTACCGTTTCTCACCCACTTCATCAACACTTCTCTAACTTCTGGTCACTTTCCAAACAGTCTCAAGGAGGCAAGAGTAAACCCTCTCCTAAAGAAACCCACTCTCAACCCGTCTGATGTTATAAACTACAGGCCTGTCTCTCTCCTCCCGTTCCTGTCTAAAACACTTGAACGCGCTGTCTTTAAACAACTCTCCTGTTATCTCCATCAGAACAACCTTCTGGATCCGCACCAGTCTGGTTTCAAGGCAGGTCACTCAACAGAAACTGCTCTCCTTGCTGTCTCTGAGGAACTGCACACTGCTAAAGCAGCCTCCCTCTCCTCTGTCATCATCCTTTTGGACCTGTCTGCTGCATTCGACACGGTGAACCCTCAGATCCTCGTTCGCACTCTCCAAAAACTTGGAGTTTCAGGCACTGCACTTTCCCTCCTCCCTTCATACCTCAAAGACCGTACCTACAGGGTAACTTAGAGAGGGTCGGAGTCCGACCCTTGTCAATTAACTACAGGGGTCCCTCAGGGCTCTGTTCTCGGTCCCCTCCTCTTCTCCTTGTACACAAACTCGCTCGGGTCTGTCATTAGCCCGCATGGTTTTTCATACCACTGCTACGCTGACGACACCCAACTAATTCTGTCCTTTCCCCGCTCAGAGACCCAGGTCGTCGCACGCATCTCTGCTTGCCTAGCAGACATCTCTCAGTGGATGTCTGCTCATCACCTCAAGCTCAACCTTGACAAGACTGAACTGCTTTTCCTTCCGCGAAAAGATTGTCCCACTCTTGACCTAACAATCAACATCGGCCCCTCTGTTGTTTCCCCGACTCAGACTGCAAGGAATCTGGGTGTGATCCTAGATAACAAACTGTCCTTCACTGCAAACATCGCTGCTACAACCCGCTGCTGCAGATACACACTTTACAACATCAGGAGGATACGTCCCCAGCTGACCCAGAAAGCGGCGCAGGTTCTGGTCCAGGCTCTCGTCATCTCACGCCTAGACTACTGCAACTCCCTCCTGGCTGGTCTACCTGCATGTGCCATCCGACCTCTGCAGCTCATCCAGAATGCAGCGGCTCGTCTGGTCTTCAACCTTCCTAAATGTTCCCACACCACGCCGCTCCTCCGCTCCCTTCACTGGCTTCCAGTAACTGCTAGAATCCACTTCAAGACACTGGTACCTGCGTACCATGCTGTGAATGGATCTGGCCCTTCCTACATCCAGGACATGGTTAAACCGTACACCCCAGCACGTGCACTCCGCTCTGCATCGGCCAAACAGCTCGCTGCACCCGCACTGCGAGGGGGACCCAAGTTCCCATCAGCAAAAACACGTGGTTTGCTATCCTGGCTCCAAAATGGTGGAATGAGCTCCCCATTGACATCAGGACAGCAGAAAGCTTACACATCTTCTTCAGACTGAAAACTCATCTCTTTAGACTCCACTTCCAGAGATAGAATTACTAACAAAGCACTTATATACTAATAAAGGGCTGGCTTATCTAAAGCCAGTTGAGAAGCACTTGAAATGTTTGGCTCTATGAAACCTGATGAACTTATATGATTCTGTTTTCTTCAAGGTTGTATCTTCCTGGTCGAATGAATCACTCAGAGTATATCATGATGTGAGTGT